GCGGCGCGCTCTCCTCGCCGCCCCTTGCGGGTGTCCGGTCTCGCTCCCTCTCCGCTCCCGGCCGCGCCCGGAGTTTGAGTGCAGACACCAGCCTTCGACTCCCCCCATCACCTCACGGGGAAAAATTCCAGGGGGACACTTCAGGGCCTCGGTTTCCCCACCTACGAAATGGGAAAAACGTCCTTCCTTCTCAGGACGGTGCTTAGAAGAAATGGAGCACGCTGGGCGGGGTGGCTCACGCCTGCAATCCCAGCCATTTGGGAGGCCAGGGAAGGAGGATTGCTTGAGCCCAGGACTTCGAGACCAGCCTAGTCAACATAGTGAGAACCCCGTCTTTACCAAAAAAAAAAAAAAAAAATTAAAAACCAGCCCAGCTGAGGCAGTAGGATCGCCGGAGCCCAGGAGGCCGAAGCTGCGGTGTGCCAGGCGCAGTGGCTCATGCCTGTAATCTCAGCACTTTGGAAGGTGGAGGCGAGAGGATTGCCTGAGTCCAGGGATTCACGACCAACCTGGGCAACTTGGTGAGACTCGTCTCTAAAAAGAAAGAAAGAAAGAAAGACGGAAGGAAGCTGCAGCAAGCTTGATCATGCCACTGTACACCAGCCTGGTGAGATCCTGACCAAAATTTTTTAAAACATTAACAAAAAATAAAGAGGCTGGGCTCGGTGGCTCAGCTTGTAACCCCTGTACTTTGGGAGGCCGAAGCAAGTGGATTGCCTGAGTCTGCAGGTTTGAGACCAGTCCAGGCAACTTGGCGAGACCTCATCTCTACAATAAATCAAAAACTAGCTGGGCGCGGTAGCGCGGGCCTGTGGTTCCAGCTACTTGGAAGGCTGAGGCAGAAGGATCGCTGGAGCCCAGCAGGTCGATGCTGGGGTGGCCGTGAGCATGCCACTGCACTCACTCCAGCGTGGGCAATAGACTGAGACTCCAACTCAAAAATAAAAAATAAAAATAAAGAAAGAGAAACGAACAAGCAAACTTTCCTAGGCATGTCCCCGTGTATAAATAAAGCACTTTCCCACCATTGCTTAATTAAACCTTTAGGAGAACCTGACAGCTGGGAAGCTGCATTCTCCCCATTCTCACAAGGCCCAGCTATAGAAGAGTGGCCCAGGAGCTTTGGCAAGGTGTACAGACTTAAGAGCTGACTTGGCTGGGAAGGACCCATGTGCTGCCTTCGGGGACACAGACCTGTGAGCCCCCCAGCCTTCACTGGAGAGGGCAGTGCAGCCTGGTGGGAAAAAAAGCAAGCATCCTAGCACCACCCTGTTCACTACCTCTACCTCAGCTCCAACCTGCTGCACTGTCTCAGGAAAGTAACCTAAAGCCCGACCCCAATTTCCTTTTCTGTAAACTGGACTCATAACAGTACTCACTTCATAAGAGTACTGTGAGGATTCAATAATATGCACATGTAGAATGCTTAGAACAGTGTGTAGCAAGCACATCACAGGTACTCAATGCATAGAGTGGAACCAGTGGAGACTCAGAGAGGGAAAGGAGACTACATTAGACTTGGGAGGCCCTGGTGCCACTTGCTGTGGGTTGACACGTCCCTGCGCAGCCCTAGGAGGGTCCAGCACCTGTTTTGGTAATCCCTTTTGTGCAGAATGCACCAGTGTCAAAAAATAACTGCTCTAGGCAGAGACTGCACAGGAGGCAGGGCAGAGTCAACTTTGCTTCTGTGGTTTCTATCCCCAGGGATCAGCTCACCTGTGTCTGGAGGCCCCAGGGCACATCAGGGCATTATGACGTCCCATTTAGCCTTGGCAACTACCCTGCTTGGGAGGGATGGATAAGTGTATTTTCTGCACCAGGACGCCAAGACAGATCTGAACATGCCATGGCTGAAAGATCCAGGAAAAGCAGGACGGTTCTGAGCACCTCTCTGAAGCCAGCACGGTGCTGGGTTTGCTGTCACGTTCCTGACACATTCATGCTGTGTCAGCCCCTGTTCATGTTGGGGACTCAGCAGCGACCAGACTGACCCATCCTTGCCCACACAGATCTTACACATTAGTAGGGAGACAGACCATTATCAAGAAATGAAAACCAAGAAAATAAAATCACAACCAAGATCTTTTAAAATAAATCGTGTCATGTGTTTTCTCGAATATAATGGGATAGATTTGTTCCTGTCATGACTGAGGGTGGCTATTTTCAATAGGGCTCCTCAGAAAGGTGGTGTTTCAACGAAGTTTTCTGTTTGTTTTGAGTCAGAGTCTCACTCTGTCACCCAGGCTGGAGTGCGGTGGCATGATCATGGCTACTGCAGCCCTGACCTGGGCTCAGGCCAATCCTGCCACCCCAGCCTTTCAATTAGCTGGGACTACAGGGGCGTGCCATCATGCTTGGCTAACTTTTAAATTATTATTTATTATATAGATGAGGTCTCGCCGAGTCGCCCAGTCTGGTCGTGAATTCCTGGACTCAGGCAATTCTCTCACCTCCGCCTCCCAGTGTGCTGGGATTACAGACATGAGCCACTGCACCCAGCCTGTTTCAACCAAGATCTTAAAGGAAGAGAAAGAGTGAGGGGTGCAAAGACGTGAAAGGGAGATAGAGAAAACAGCGAGTCCTGAAGCTCTGAGGTAGGAATGTAGCACTTGAACTGTGAGAAGGCATAGTGACCTCTACTCTGTAGAGAGGAGCCAAGGTGAGGGACTTGCCCAAGACCACCCAGCTGGCTGCACGAGGCAGATCTGAGATTTTTTTTTTTTTTTTTTTTGAGTTGGAGTCTCACTCCGTCGCCCAGACTGGAGTGCAGTGGCCGCTCCCGGCCACCGCAGCCTCGACCCGCTGGGCCCCGGCGAGCCTTCCACTCAGCCTTCCAAGTAGCTGGAACTACAGGCGCGCACTACCATGCCTGGCTGATTTTTGATTTATTGTAGAGATGAGGTCTCGCTGCCCGGGCGGGTCTCGAACCCGCGGGCTCAGGTAATCCACTCACCTCAGTCTCCCAAAGCACGGGATTACAGGCTGAGCCACCGAGCCTGGCTAGATCTGAGATTTGAACCTATGGCAACTGACTCCAGTGCCCACGCTGTCCTAGGGTATTTCGTAATCCTTCCTATCCAGCAACCTCCATGCAGGCTTGTGGGTGTGGTCACTGGAAGGGCACCCTAGGCATTGCCTCCAAATTTGTAGTTGTCAAATACCAATTTAAATTTTTTCAGTCATACATAAAGTATGATTAAAGTATTATACTGATAATATAAAAATTATTAAAGATATCATGGAAAACTTTTTCACAATAATGTCTTGAAACTCTGGTTTGCATTTTACACTTAGTTGGGGCACAATGAGCATAAAAGTTGAGCTGCCAGTGAGTACAGTGAAATGCAGTCCCACCAAAGCAGTCAAGTTGTTTTTAATGGGAAAATATCTTACCTGCTTCCATTTTAAAGCTGAAATTCAATTAAGATAAAAAATTCAGCCAGGCTTAGTGGCTCAACCTGTCAGCCCAGCACTTTGGGAGGCTGAGGCAAGTGGATTGCCTGAGCCCACGGGTTCGAGACCCACCCAGGCAACTTGGCGAGATCTCGTCTCGTTTCTAAATAAAAAATGAGCTGGGTGTGGTAGTGTGCACTTGTAGTTCACACTACTTGGAAAGCTGAGGGGAAAGGATCAGAGGAGCCCTGCTGGTAGACACTGGGGTGGCCATGAATGTGCCACTGCACTCCAGCCTGGGCAACAGAGTGAGAATCCAACTCAAAAAAAAAAAAATTTTTAGTTTCTCAGTCACACGAGTCACACTTGAAGTGCTCAACAATCACATGTGGCAAATGGCCGTTTCATATTTTGGAAACTTAATTTCCACTGTGTGCAGTATTGAAAGATTGGGGACCTTAAGGGGTGACTGGATTGTGAGGGCTCTACCCTTATGAACGGGTTAATTCACTCATGAATTCATGGATTAGTGGGTTAATAGGCTGATGGGCTGTTATGGGGGGGGGAAACTGGGCTTTTATAAGAAGAGGACGTGAGACCTGAGGAAGCTTGGTGGCATGTTCAGCCCCTCGCCGTCCTGTGATGCCCTGAGCCCCCTCTGATCTGTTCATTCTTCACTGGCAAGAGGCCCTCATCAGACACATGCATCCCCTTGACCTTGGACTTCCCAAAGTCCATACCTGTAAGAAATAAATGACTCAGTTTTAGGTATTGTGTTATAAGCAAAGAAAACAGACAAAAATATCTACCATTGAGCAGCATAGCCCTAGACCCCGTGTTCCTGTCTATAGCAAAGAGATGAAGAGTCAGGTGGACAGGAGTTAGACTCCTGGATCTACAACAACCAAATAGCCTTTAGCTTCAGTTTCTGTACCTATAAAACAGACTAATTATACCTCCTTTACATTGTCATCATAAGGATTAAATGCAGCGAGGCTGCTTCATGTTATAATTAAATCACATTTCTTGAGTTCAAATATTATCACTCAGATGTTGGGCTAGTTACTTAAGCTCTTTGTACCTCAGTTTCCTAATCTGTAAAACAGGGATAATAATGGTACCTAACTCACGGGTTTGTCATGAGCATTAAATGACTTAATACTTGTGAACTGCCAGGAATATAAATGCTCTATAAGCATTTGTTAAAAAGTGAGAAAATAAATGGTGATGAGCTCCTCAAAACTGAATGTGCAAATGTGCCCTTCTCTAGAGAGTCTGGCTTTCATTAACTCCCTTCTCTCCAGGCTCAAACGTTCCTCCACCACGGTTTCTGTTTGCTGTCGTTCTGATGAGCTGTCTCTGACCCCCAGTGCTGGGGTGAGGAACTTGAGGGCCGTGCCCCCGGCTGGAGGGATATAAGGTCCAGAGAGAGACGTGAGACCTGAGGCCTCCCTCTTTCCCTTCCACTCTGGTGTCCCTGGTGACTGCAAAATGCCTAAAATGCCACCCCTAGTGTCCTTAAACTTCTCATCTTCACACATTTCCTTCCTGAAAGCAAAGCCATGGCTCAGAACGTCTGGCTAGAGCCACTGACCCTGTGAGACTGCAGCAAGTCACCTCCTTTTGGGGGGCTTCAGTTTTCTTACCTGTAAAATAAGAAAGTGTTAGATTCGACCAGTGTTTTCTCAAATACACTAGGTACGATGATGGAGATATGCCAGAGGGCTTTAAGGTCTCGGACTCTGTGTGAAACAACATTGAGTCACACTGTGATGCCCGTGTTCCCTTCTGACTTCTTCCTGTTTTTTCAATTACTCGGGGAGAGAGTCTCATTAACAGCTTCTATGTTTTTGACACTTGTTAAGGAAGAGAGAGCTGAAATTGGATAATATTGTTTTGCTTTCCTTGTATTTAATTTTACGCTTACCTCCTCTTTATGGAAAATGATAGTTGTTTTCTATCTGAGGTCAGTGATTCAAATTTCCATTTTAAATGCATTTACCAGGCAGCCCTTTCAGGTCCCCTCCTGTGGGAGCTTTCTGTCTTCTCAATAAATCCTACTTTCTCACCAAATAAAGAAATAAATGCATTTACCTACGTTTTTAAAAATGAGCTGATTGAAAGGAAAACATTGTGGAACGAATATTACAAATGTGCAAATGGATTTGGGCCAATCAACTTGGGGAGGACAGTGTGCAATTCAAGCGTTACAGCCCAAGGCCTATGTTCCTACTGGGAGCCTTATCCAGGAGACCGGGAACCTCTCGTCTCCTGGAGTCCTGGGGTCTTTGCACAAATCTCTCATGGTCCAGGCCTTGCTCAGGCTGGGTCCCAGGAGGAGCAGGAAGGCTGGCCCAGCACAGCTCAGTGGCAGCCTAGTTTCTTCAGGGGTGATAGGTACCAGATTCTCCCAGGAGGGGGTACATGGTAGGACCTCCAAAAATGTTAGGTTAAAATATATCCCAGCGGGGCCTCCAAATGTTAGGTCAGACCTGCCAGGGAGTGACTGGTGTCTGCGATCTAGTGCTGCACAAAAGATGCAAAGAATTGCACAGAAGTGCTGGGCGTGGTAGCTCATGCCTATAATTACAGCACTTTGGGAGGCAGAGGCAAGAGAATTGCGTAAGTCTAGGGGTTCCAGACCAACCTCGGCCACTTGGCAAAACCTCATCTTTACAGTAAATCAAAAAATTAGCCAGGTATGGTGACAGGCCCCTGTAGTTCCAGCTACTTGGAAGGCTGAGGTGGAAGGATTGCTGGAGCCCAGCAGGTCGAGGCTGCGGTGGCTGTGAACGTGCCACTGCACTCCAGCCTGTGTGACAGAGTGAGACTCCGACTCAAAAAAGAAAAAAAAAAGTTGAGTTAGTTTAGAAAATATAGTTTATTTAGAAAATAAATTAGAGAGAGATAGAGAGAGAGAGAGAGAGAGGAGATTCACCTCTCCAAGGTAGGAGAGGAAGCCAAAGCTTAGGAAAACATGGCCTGGACATAGCTCAGAGAACACATGGCCAGACCATAGCTTAGCAAGGCAATGGCTAGAAAGTAAATTAGAGAGAAAGGAGATTCACCTCCCCAAGGGAGGGGAAGGAGCCAAAGGGAACAGGACAACCTCAAGGAGCTACATGGTCAAACCACAGCTTAGCAGAGAAATGGCAACTGCCATTTGAAGTTGAATGCCTTTTAACCCTTCCCTTTAATGGGGGAGGTCATTAAGGTGATTGGTTGGTAGTCTGCTCCACATCATCACGGAGGGCAAATGAGCACAGACCCAGACTCACAGACCCAGACGTCAGGTGATGGAAGGCAGGCGGATGGAGGGCTCATCACATGATTGCTGCCATGGCGATGGGGTCTGTCTGTGTCGTGAAGGTCTGATTGGGTCAACTTGTTTACAAAACCAGCTGGGGAGGGAGTTGTCAAACAATTATCAATAGCTACCTCTGAGAAACTTGTTCTGTCCTTGGCTAGTGATTAGAGGGTAATCACTAGATTACCTAACTGCTACAAAAACAGGACAAAGCTAAGCAATGTTAAAGTGGCTGTTCATTGGCCATATGGACGCCATGCTATGTCCTTTCAAGGGGGAATGTGATTCTTGTGCCTGGAGGCGGAGAGGGGATGGCCTCCCATCCTCCCACTCCCCAGGAAGCTGCTGCTTTCATTCCTGGAGAAAGATGAGGAAACAAACCGGGGCTCAGAGAGGTGACATCACTGGCCAAGGGAGGGAGGGGCTGGCAGGAGTCAGAGCAGTCAGTTTGGCGCCAACCCATGCTGTGTCTCGTCCGCTGCCTGTACCACACATCGGGCAAGTCACTTCGCCACTCCGAGATCCACAACCCTATCTAGAAAGTGGGATTGATAACAGTATCCTTCTGGGGGGGGTCATTGAACTGCTTATTGCATTGGGCACTGTTACTCTGAGAGAGAGAGAGAGAGAGAGAGAGAGAGAGAGAGAGAGAGAAACCTGCCTGGGCAAAGTGAACTGCTGGAAAAACATGACCACTAGGCAGTGCTAGCCAAAGTCCACATCACTCCACCATTTCAGAGTCTCAAGGAGATTGATGGAAGTTTCTTGAGGAAGTCCCACCTCCTCCTCAGAGTGAAGGGTCCACTCTCTCTGGTTGGCGGGAGGAGCTAGATCTCAGGGCTGAAGACCATAGGGGGAAGGCTCGTCTGGTCCTGACCTTCCATCTGACCTTGGGCAGCCACTGGTCTCTCGCTGGGCCCAGTCACGACTGCCGTTTTGAGTGTGCGTTGTGTGTTGGGGAGTCTCTAAGCCCCAGGGGTCCTGTTTCTGTTCCTTATTTTCTAGTGTAGGGGAGGGCACCTCAGACGCGCCCCTCCCAGTCCTGGAATTGTTGCCAAGTCATCTGAACTGCTTTCTTGCCTGCATGCCTCCTGCCCGTTCTGAAGCCAACGGAGGACTGACTGTGTGCTGGAGGCCTGGCTGTGTGCTGCATCCAGGCCACTGCTCAGCCCTTCCTTTCTGAGAAAAGCCTGGGGTGCCGGTGGGGGGCTGGAGCGTTCAGCCAGTTGCATCAGAAACTTGCACAACACACCCTGCAGGGTCAGGCATAGAACCCTGCCCCATGGTCCCCATCCCCACCCTGGTCTCCGAGGGTGCAGATGAGGACCCTTGCACCTTGTTGGGGTGCCACTAAGCCAGGCCAGGCCCTTAGGGCGTGACCTGGGGGGGGCAGAGGGATGGGGGTGAAGGTGCTGAGAGAGCTTGGGCTACCTGGGTGATGGAAAGGGCATAACATGGAGTCAATACAGCCAAAGAGCAGTCATTTTAGCACTGCCTAGTGGTCATGTTTTTCTAGCAATTCGCTTTACCCTCTAATCACTAACCAAGGACAGAACCGGTTTCTCAGAGGTAGCTATTGATAATTTTTACAACCTCCTTCCCAGCTTGTTTTGCACTAATTAGCTTTTCCATTTCAAATATTTGCCTCCACCCATAAGGCCCAAGTTGACCTAATTAGCCCTTCATGACCTTGGTGACACAGACCCCATCACCATGGCAGCAATCATGTGACTGACTCACCCATCTGCCTGCTGTCTATCCCCTGATGTCAGTACCTGCGCTTACTTGTCCCCTTCATGACAGCAGACCACCACCCAATCACCTTTTCATCAAGGGAAAGTTTAACCCTCAGCCACCATTGTTTTGCTAAGCTATGGAATGGCCATGTGTTCTTTGAGCTGTGTGTGGCCAGGCAATATTTTCCTAAGCTTTGGTCCCCTCTCTAACCTTGGAGAGGTGAATCTCCTCTCTCTGTATCTCTTTCTAATTTACTTTTTTTTTTTTTTTAAGTTGGAGTCTCACTCTGTCGCCCAGGCTGGAGTGCAGTGGCCACTCCCGGCCACTGCAGCCTCAACCTGCTGGGCTCTGGCGATCCTTCTGCCTCAGCCTTCCAAGTAGCTGGAATTACAGATGTATGCCACCATGCCCAGATAATTTTTTGATTTATTGTAGAGATGAAGTCTCAACATGTTGCCCAGGCTAGTCTCGAACTTGTGGGCTCAGGCAATCCTTTTGCCTCTCTCTCTCAAAGTGTTGGGATTACAGGCATGAGCCACCACACCCGGCTCTAATTTACTTTCTAAATAAACCATATTTTCTCATCTAATTATTTCCATCTTTCACTTTCATTATCACTAACTACCTCTCAGAAACCGGGTCTGTCCTTGGTTAGCGATTAGAGGGCAAAGTGAACAGCTAGAAAAACATGACCACTAGGCAGTGTTAGAGTGACTGCTCTTTGGCTCTGTTGACTCCATGTTATGTCCTTTCAGACTACGGTGCATTACTTGTGGCCCCATTCCAGACCAACCCCAACTCAAGCCCCAGACCCCCTGGTCACAGATACTCCCAAGAGTCTAGAAGACTGAGGGTCAACACAGGCATCAGGCACTTTTCCCCCTCCCTCCTCATCCTTGCACCCAAGGGGCTGGGTTGAACAAGGAGCATCCCCCCCCCCATTAGCCCAACTATGACTTAGCAAGGTGGGGGCTGGAGGTGGCGTCAGGCAGGACCCCTGGGGATGGGCAGGGGCAGGTGTCAGTCAGCGCAGGGAGCCGATTGGCAGTCTCTGAGGGCAGAGCTGAGGACAGGGTGGGGGCCCTGAGCTGGCAGCATTGGGTGGTTTCGGTGGTCAGCAGGATCTTTAAGACAGAGCAGCCTGGCACAAGTCCTACCCACTTCCACCTGCCACGTAATGCTGTTTTCCTGACACTTGTCCACATCATTTCCTCCAAGAGTAGCCTGTTTCTTCCCATCATGACACTGCTTATCACTGGGATTATAAATATATCACTAGCACTTAACTTTTATTCACTTAGTGTTTGCCTCCCTCACGAAACTCTCAGCTCCACTGGGGCAGGCACCTGCCTCTGTGGTTCGCCAGTACATCTCCAGCAACCAGGACCGTGCCTGGCACAGGTTAGAGCTCAGCAAACAGTAGATGAACACGTTCCCCCATCTACTCACCCCTCATCTATGTATCACTCAGCCATCACCCATTCCTGCATCTACCCATTCAAGCTTCTCTCCACTCTTCCATCCACTCTCCATTCAACAAGCATCCTTCCATCCACCCATCTATCTCTCCAGGATCAATTATGCCATGTATACATCATCCATTCATTCAACAAATATGTGCTGAATACCTACGACATGCCAGGCCATGAGGCTGGGAATGCAGCAGGGAATGTAACAGATAGAAGTGGCACTTGCAAGCCGGGTTCGGTGGCTCAGCCTGTAATCCCGCGCCTTTGGGAAGCTGAGGTGTGTGGATTGCCTGAGCCCGCGGGTTCGAGACCCGCCTGGGCGGCGAGACCTCATCTCTACA